CAATGACATGAGACAAAGTATATGTGAACTGCTGTATGGAAAGTGAATTTGCTCTGTAAATCTTCACCCAAATAAAAATAAAAAAATAAAATAAATAAAAATTTCAGGTGTAATTCACCTCCTGAGAGCAGCCTGCAGACCTCCCAATGTAAGTGGCCTTTCCCTTACCATGCCATATCTGACTTCACAGACAACCCAGAGTTCTCCACTCCTTAGAACACATTCTGCTTCATTCCATCTCCTTTTGCTTATCTTTACCCTGAGGGGAAACCCCATGTAACAAAATCATGTGGCCTTTCTGTATGGATTTTATTTCCAACACAACCAGCTGGACTTACCTGCCCTGGCTGAAGTGCTCAGTAGCCAAGCAACTCCAAACATAAGCATCATCTGATAAAATGAGCCATAATGTTTTCTACATAATATACAATTACTTACAACACATGTGCACATGCACAGCAACAGATTTAGAGATGTGCTCAGCTCTGGGTGAGACAGAAAAAACTTGGACACACTATACTATTTTCTTTCCAACGCAGGAAAAAATCTCAAATTGCAGTTTTTGGACTGTGCTTAGGACAGAAGTTTTCATGCAAGCAGAGCGGGCACATTTTGGTGAGTCGGGAAATATCGTTAATGCCTACCTAGATAAGCATTATCACCAATCTGCAGGGAAATATCGTTAATGCCTACCCAGATAAGCATTATCACCAATCTGCAAATGCACCTGAAGCCATAATAAGCAACGTCTTGAGAAACAGTATGGGAGCCATCAGCATTGGGCATGCCTCTGTTGGGAGCTTTCATGGCACCAACGCTGGCAGAGAGGGCATCTTGTATTTTGAAATCTGATAATTCTTTTTGCTCCTTTCATAATTAATAAAAATACTTTGATGCAAAGTACATTAGAGTAGGGGTTTGCAAACCATGGACCATGGGCCAAATCATGCCTGCCTCTTGCTTTTTGCATAGCCCATGAGCTAAGAAGGATTTTTAGATTTCTAAATGGTTGAAAAGAGTTAAAAGAAACAAAATATATCATGACATGGGAAGATGATAAGAAATTCATATTTCAGTTTCTATAAATAAAGTTGTATTGGAGACAGCCCTGCCCATTCATTTTTATTTTTCTTTGGTTGCTTTCATGCATCACTGTGACAGACTGGATGGCCCACTAAATCCAAAATATGTACTCTCTGGCCCTGTAGAGAAACAGTTTTGCTGTCCCTTGCAGTAGAGTCCTAAGTGTTCCCACAGCCTGGCTTTGGAAAGACTCTGATGAAGAGAATTTTTTTCCTCCTCAAATGAAGCATTTTTGTATCTTCTCTGAGGCAAAGGCACAGTGGCCAAGGCCACTGAAAACAAATCCTCATAGCCTGAGTTTAAGGAGAAGCATGCAGAAAACCACTTACGTAGGAACCGTAATCCACTGCCAGTGTCTGCAGAGCCCAGGGAAGCCCCAGGCCTATCAGGATGTCAAACACATTGCTCCCAATAGAGTTGGATACAGCCATGTCCCCCATGCCTGCAAGGAAAAGAGGTCGCTAGAGTGAGGGAGGTAACCACAGGGGAGCATGAGAGCTATAAGCTGGATGCTCCCATGCCCTGGGTCTGACAACTAGAGTCATTTTTCTAGTTCCCATGCTTGGTTCCTCCACAGCCCATTCTCAGAATGACAGTGATCACAAAATGTGACAACCATATTCTATTGAAATGCTGACCTTACATCAAATATGATCACTGATCCAATGTAAGTGATTCTAAAAGCCAAATGTGGTTCCAAAAATTTTGAGGATTCCTTATAGAAAGGAACAAACTCACCAGTTCTATGAAAGTGGTTCACTGTCTCACTTTGTATCAACGATCACCTCCTTAATACTACACTCAGTTCCTCTTCTAAACAATGAAGTAATGTATTTTTTTTTCTAAATTTTATTAATTTCATTGTTGTTGAGACTGTACACAGCAAAACATATACCAATTCAACAGTTTCTACTCATCCAATTTAGTGACATGTGTTAGGAGCTCTGGTGGTGTAGTGCCTAAGGCATTTGGCTGCTAACCAGAAGGCTGGCAGTTCAAACCACCAGGCATTCCACAGAAGGAAGACTGGGTAATTTACTTCCATAGACATACCACCTCAGAAACCCAAGGAGGGGTCGCTTTGAGTCGGATCTGACTTGAGGGCAGTGAGTCTGGTTTGGTTTGGTTGTTAAATTCTTCGAGTTGTGTAACCATTGTCACCCTCTTTTTCTGAATTGTTTCTTCCTTACAAACATAAACTCAGTGCCCCCTATGGTTTGTATCTAATCTTTGCAAGTTGCTATTGTCAATTTGATCCTATAGAGATAGTTCAGAAAAGAACAAATGTTCAAGTGAGACCTTTTTTACTAGTTAAGCTAAACTATTATTCAATTTTAAGATGACTTTGTCAGGGAGTATTTTTGGTTGAAGGCTTAAAGATTATCTCAGAACAATAGTTTCAGGTGTTCATCCACTCTCTGTGGCTCCAGAAAGTCAGGAGTTCATAGGAAATTGAAATTCTATTCTACATTTTCCCTTTTTATCAAGATTCTTTTATGTAATCTTTGATCAAACTTTTCAGTAATGGTAGCTGGGATCATCCAGTTCTGGTCTCATGACAATGGAGGCAGTTATTCATGGCAGCAATTAGCCACTTATTCCATATCCTCCTTCTTTCCCTGACTCTTCTTCTTCCTCTGTTGATCCAGGTTGAAACAATATTTCCAAAATGATATAATCAGTAGAATTTCATGAAAGGTTCTTGAAGTCATGGTGCTAAGTTTTATAGCTACACATTGCATTTATTTAAAACACGTCCCTTTAGTTTGCTTCAAGCAGATACATTCAAGGCGGTACTGAGGAAGGCATGACCATCTGGGGAATCCACATTGGCAGGTGAACTGTGAACTTGCTTTTGAAGGAAAGGAGGGGCTGCTGGACACTAAATGCTGACATCTGGTCACTACCCCTCTGAGGGGTGCTACAGTTGTGGAAACTCAGATATGAGGTCGGTCATCTTTAAGTTCAGTTTCTTTATCCATAAAAAGGGAGTATGGTTGTCCCTACCTCATAGAGCTGCTGTTAAATGAAAGGAGATAAAGCACCTAAAATGCCTTGCATAGTGTGTGACACTCAGGAAAGGTTACCTGTCATTACATTTATTTCTGTTTCTAATAATGGAAGGACAATAACACAACCTCTATTAGGGAGTATGGGCTGTGAGCTAGAAAATATCTGTCTTCCTCACAGGAAGAGCATTCTGGCTTGTTTCTGGCTCTTCCATTCCCAGGAAGCCTCTAGCCTACAAGGCTCTGAAGTGATCCTTCAGTCCTCCAAGCCAGGAGTTGGTGACCCATTAATTCCCCCAGGTAAGGATGCTTTCCTTCCTCTCTTCCCCTGAAGGCCCCACCTTGTCTGGCCACAATGAGGCTGGCCATGCAGTCAGGCACGCTGGTCCCCGCAGCCAAGAAGGTAATACCCATGATGACATCAGGAATCCCCAGAGTGAAGCCGATGATGGTGACCTGGAATGAGGAAAGAGGTGCTAAGCTGAAGTCCACTTCCAGCCCTGACTTCCCATTGGAGCCTGTTGATGAAGACACAGAAAGGGTTATACTCAGGGCTGTCTCCCTGGAGGGCAATGTTTCTGCTCTCTGTATTAATACAGGGGATGTGGGATACAATGGGGCTCAGACTAGGGCTGCTGGATCATGGGACAGGGTAGTACAGCGCCCATGTTTTCTAACAAAAGATTGGCTGTTCTAATTTGTTCCTTTTAGGTATGGGAGGGAAATAGGGTTTTTAGGAAAAGGCAATTTTGGAACAGACTATTTGAATTCAGGATGGTTCTGGGAGATTCAGAGTGGATGGCTGCTGGAGCATGCTTGGGATGGGAGCACCTCACCTAGAGAGGTATGATGGTGGCTTAAATAACTGAGAAGGGGCTGGACTTTACACTACCCAGACTTCCCTGGTCAAAAAGCCTTTGCCAGCTGATTCCTTTCCTTTCTTCCTTGGTGCTGGGTAATAACATCATTGTCATGCTCTTTGTCAACATTATAATTTAGTACATAGGGATGGTGCTAATTGGGTCTTACGTGTTTTAACTTTATTAATTTTCACAATAACCCCATGGATTAGGTGGTATTATGATGCTCATTTTTTCAGATGAGGAAACTGAGGCTGGGAGAAGCATTTGCCCAAGTCACATGCTGCTAATAAGTACCAGAGGGGGATTCTGACTGGAGCAGATGGGCTCATTTGCATAGATAGTTCCTCATTTGATACAGATGAGGTGTTAGCCAGAGGGTAGGAACAGGTGATACTGAGACATTTCCCCCTTTATGGAAATGAGCTCATTCTTGCCCCCAAGTTCCATATATGGAAAAGCTGAGAGGAAGGCTGTTGGTGAGAGGAAGGCTGTTGGCATGATCAAGGGGCCAGTGGCAACAGAGGTAAGTGGAAATGCTGGTGTAAGAAGATAGTTTGCAACAGCTAAAACTATTAGGCCATTTTAGGATGTCACTTGATTGCCTCATTTTCTGTAAAATTGCAAGAAATGTAAACCACATGTTATAAGCAGCACATTCTTCTCATGGGCTAGCTACTGAAAGAGTAGAAAACCCTGATTTCATGACAAAGGCCACATTGCTCTCTTCCTGTCCAGAGGTTTAGGAAATGTTAGTAAAAATCCCTTAAGAAAGATGGCACCTTTCTGACCAGAGAATGTACCTCGTTTCACTTGGTGCTGAATCTAATTTGAGGATGATCTTGGGGCTTCTGGCTTCAATCTCTAGGGAAGAAAGTATGATGGAGAAACATTTCCATATTTTTCTTTTGTTAAGCTCCAGAGCCTTTTATGGAATGAGGCCACAGATGCCCAGGCTCAAATCTACCTACTCATGTTTTCTCTTCTAACCCATAGCTCAGCCCCTGTAGGAATCAGTCTTGGCTTAACCAGACTTGACTTAGAAGGAACTGCTGCTGCTCCAGTAATGTGCTCGGTGTTATGATTGTGGATACGGGTGAATCTGGAATCGGGGTGAATTCATTATCCAGGTGGTTGGAATCAGATCTCCTGTCTCATTTTGTTTTCTTCCTTAACAGCAAACCTGTTCATGAGTTGATTCCAGGTGTGGGCAAACCCATGTGTGTCAGAGTACAACTATGCTCCATAGGTTTTTCAGTGGCTACTTTTCTGGAGATCGTCAGGCCTTTCTTTGAAGGTACCTCTGGATGGACTTGAACCTCTAACCTTTCAGTTAGCAGTTGAGGGTGTTAACCATTTGCAACACCCATGGACTCCTTTTTCCCTCATTCCTGGCCATTTTTCAGGACTTATAAGCCCCTCCACCAGAGGAGAAGGAGGAAAGCACAAAGAGGGCAAACGTCAGATCAGTCAACTAGTTGCTTGTTAGTAAACTTCAGAGAAAACTACTGAACACCTTGCAGTCAGAGACCTAGAACAGAAAGGAAATTCAATGACTACATCAAATAAAAAAATTAATAAATGCAGGATGAGGGAACAATCCTTAACTATGAGATATAGATTTTAAAAAACATTATCAGTTTGTCTGTGATCTTGAAGGCAAGGGATAATTAAAAGTTAATAGTTTTAGGGTAACAAATTTACTATTGTCTCCAAATAATCTTTTCAAAACCTTTTATTAGCTCTTCAGTTTCATTCTCTAGAATTTGTATTGTATTACTGCTCCATATTCAAGCAAGATTAATTTAGATTTGTATAACCTTCTCACGGCTTTTAATTTCTATCCAACTCCAATTCTATTGAGTTAGGTTTGCTCTCCAATAAAAAGTACAATCAGAAATGGACAATGCATTCTGGATAGCTGGATTTCCTAAAATTGCTTTGCATAAGAGTCTTTTCTGAGCCACAGCTCCATAACCAATGTCAAGCACTGAGTCATTGTTTTAGCCTCAGAAGGACCATTGAGGAGTCACTGAATCCAATAACCTCATTTTGTGGTTAAGGAAAGTGAGACTCAGATAGGCCAGTGACTGTGATAAAGTAGATCAGCATTGCCTGATTCTTCATGTTTTTCCTCTACACCTTTAGATGGATAGATAGATGACAGATAGATAAATAGATAGGTAGATAAATGATAGATAGCTGCTGTTGAGTCAGCTGACTCATGGTGATCTTATGTACAACAAAACAAAATGTTGCTTGGTCTTGTGTCATTATCACGATTGCCAGCATGTTCAATTCCATACTTGCATCTGTTGTGCCAATCCATCTCACCAAGGGTCTCCCTTACCCTCTTTGACCCTCTACTTCACCAAATACTATGTTCTTGTCCAGTGACTAATCCATTTTGATGACATGAGTTGAACAGTGTTCTGTTATGATCCATAGGTTTCCACTGGCTGATTTTACAAAGTAGATCACCAGGTCTTCCTTTCTAGTTAGTCTGGACACTCCACAGAAACCTGTCCACCATGAGTGACCCTGCTGGTATCTACAATACCAGTGGCATAATTTCCATTGTCATAGCAAAGTGTAAACCAGCACAATATGACAATATGGGAGTAGGTGGAGTATGTTTACCCTGCTCCACTGTTGGGCTTGGCCATAGGAATATGAGTGAAGTGACAGTGTGTCAGTTCTAAGCCATGCTCCTAAGAGCCACCTTTGTTTCCTCTTGCCCTCTTTCATGCCAGTAGTCAACCATGAGAAGAACATTGCCCAGTAGCCACTGTTCCAAGGAAAATGAGCAAACCAATAGAGCAGACCCAAAACCAACCTGTAGCTTGATGCAGAGCTGCTTAGCCAGCCCCAGCTAAGAGTATTCAAACTAGTCAAGCTGCAGACCTGGTAGCAGGGGGAATAAACGATGAGGTTAGTGGTGGTTTGTTATGTAGCAACAGCTGACTGATGCAGTTAATGGGTCAACTCCCAACTCCACTTTCCCTTTAGGGGAGTGCATTTGCTCTCTAAAAGAGATCTAGCAGGGCTGTGGAGTCCTTGACACACTCACCATCCACACCATCATGTAGGAGAAGGCTGCAATCCACAGTGTAGAGGAAACAAACGTCACCATAAACCATTTCTCCCAACGGGGCTTGTTGCAGTTGGGGACAGTGAAGTATAAGACAAAACTCAGGGGCCAGGTGAATGCCCATTTCACTGTTTCCAGTTTACCAGCTGGAAAAATAAAAAAGGGGGAAAAAATCAGCTTCATGTCTCTGCTCTGCTAGCCCTCAGTATGGCTTTCCCATAGACCCTCACATCCTCACTGATGGCTGCTACATTTTATTATATTGCTCTTTCCCTAAAAGACTCAAATGCCTTCTCACCTCCAACAGAATGTGACATAAAAAAAAAAAGTGGAATTAGGAAAACAAAAATCCATTGCCCATTTGCTACTTATGTCTTCAAAATGAATTGATAATTCACTGAGAAAGGGTAATGGCAATGGGACCAGATGGTAAAAGATGAGGAAAACTCAAGAAACAAACTGGGGAGCAGTGTGCTGTGTGTGTGTAAACCACTCACGTGTGTCTGTTTTCCAACTAAATCTTTTCCAGATTAAGGGGCTTCAGTGGACATCAGTGGACACAGTGCCATCTAGTGGAATTGCTCAGCATTATATACATATAAAAACTAAAATCCAAACCCGTTGCCCTGGAGTCAATTCTGACTCATGGTGACCCCACAAGACAGACTAGAACTATCCCATAGAGTTTTCTTGGCTATATTCTTCATGGAAGCAGATAGTCAGGGCTTTCTTCCACAGTGCTGCAGAGTAGGTTCAAACTGCCAATCTTTAGGTTCCCACTGCCTTGAAGTCAATTCTGACTCATAGTGACCCCCATTGGGTTTCTTTCCAAGTCTGTAAATCTTTATGGAAGTAGATTGCCTCATCTTCCTCCCACAGAGCAGCTGGTGGGTTTTAACTAGCAACCTTCTGGTTAGCAAACAAATGCCTTACCATAAAGCTACAGAGCTCCTTTGAAATCTTGAGAGATTAATTGAAGGCTCTCAAAGTTGCCAAAATGCAGTGTGTTTGTCTTCCAAGCTGTTGTGGACTTGCAAATTAATTTCTTTAATTGCTTTACAGCTCATCAACTCCCTGCTTCCATAGACAAGATGATGGATCTGTCAATGCTGACTGACCACGTCAATGTCTTCTGTGCTGCCTAAGTACTTTGTGTATCACAGACACCCATGAATGCTTTTCTAGTGAACATAGTTTCCAGATTTGGTAGGCTTACTAATTATCCTTTGACCTTTATAACCATTCTGCCTAAGTGCTAACTTAACTCTGGAAAGAAATATATATATACATATATCTACTTACCACCTCAATTGATATACAGAACATTTGCATTCCCCAGCAAGTTCCCCTGTGCCCATTTCCTATCAGTCTCCCATACCTATTATCATAGTTTTTCCTGTTCTTGAATCTAAAATAAATGAAATATAGTATTATTTTTTGTGTCTATCTTCTTTGATTTCATGTAATGTTTTTTGAGATTCATTCACATATTAGAATTTCATTCCTTTTAATTGCTGTGTAGTATTCCATTGTATGCATATATCACAATTTTCTTATCCAGTGTCCTGTGGATAAGCATTTGGATTGTTGCCTGTTTTAAGAGATTATAACTAAAGTGGCCATGAACATTCTTGTATAAATCTTTTTGTGGGTATGTTTTCATTTCTCTTGGAAAAGAGAAATTCCACCTATGAGTAGAATTGCTGAGCCTCAGGGTGGGTGTCTATTTAACTTGATAAGAAACTGCTAAACAGTCTTCCAAATGCTCGTATCATTTTATATTTCCATTAGAGTTAGGGAGATTTTAAAAATTATAACATTTTGAACAATTATTAATAAAATATTTAATAAAATTTATTTCCTACCAGTATCCAATACTTATTGCATATATTTCGTACAGTAGCCAGCCTCCAAATAGATTCTTAAAGCTACATTAGAAAAGTTACATAAAATCATTTCTGCACCCCCTGCTTTTCTCTGGATAACCAAGATAGTATAGTCTCTGGGGTTGGGGTGGGACTTTTTCCTCAGTCAGAGCTAGGGGCAGGTCTGTGACCTATTTCCTAATCTGCAAAATGTGGATATAGAAGCACTGAGTTCACAGAGTTTCTGGGAGAAATGAGAAACACTTAGGACTGGGAATAAGATAATGTATGCTTGCAAGCGGCTCAAGTAAAAAAAAAACCCATGAGCTATTCTTGATTCTTCTTCCCTTTGTTTCAAACGCAACATCTGACCCTGGCCACCTGCCAAGTACATTCGCAATCTATTTACATGTCCCCATATTCACAGCCTCCATCTAGCCAGGTGGCCCCATCTGTGAAATGGCTGAGGACCTGCATCCTCTTGGGACTCCCTGCTTCCACTTCTTCCCACTTCCATCCTTTTTCCATCAACAGCCAGAGGGATATTCTCGAAGAGCAAACTAGGTAATATCATTCCCATTGGCTTCCACTGTCTTTAAAGTAAAATCAACCCTGCTTACTATGGCCTACAAGACCCTGCCTGATTTGGCTCCCTCACCATTCTCCCCGCACACTACATGCCTGTAGCCTTGGACTTCTTTCTGTGCTGTCATGTAGGCCACTTCATTGCTCAAATGTCATCTGACTCCTCAGGTCACCCAATCTAAGCAAGATCCCCATCCACCCCACTCACTTCTGTTTACTTCATGGCAAATTTTTCCTGTATGAAATTACTAGGTTTATTTGTTTCCTTACTTTTTTTTTTTTTTTTTGTCTCCCCTAAACTTGAATAGAAACTCTCCAAGGATGGAAGACTCTAGCTTGTTCACTAATCTGTTTAGAATGCCTTAAATAGTGCAGGACATATAGTAGATGCTCAATAATATCAATAATTGCTGTTGCTGTTGTTAGGTGCCGTTGAGTCGGACCCGACTCATAGTGACTCCTCCTTGAGTTTCTGAGGCAGTATCACTACAGAAGTAGATTGCCCCATCTCCCTTCTGAAGAGTGGCTGGTGGGTTTGAAGCACCAGGCTTCTGGTTAGCAGTCAAGTGCCTTAGACACTATGCTACCAGAGCTCCCAATATTAAAAATAGTCATAGTAATAACATTACTATGAAAATATAATCAGATAGACTAAAGAAAATTATGTGTTTTTGAGAAGCTAAGGGTATACCATTTATTAGTACAGAATAAAGAGAAAAAATTTTAAGAAATAGTAACACTATTCCTTCTCATATTTCTTCAAAAAATAGAAGAGAAGGAAACATTTCCTAACTCAGTCTATGAGGTCAGAATTACTTGGATACCAAAGCCAGATAAAGACATCACAAAGAAAGCAAGCTTTTGATCAATATCCCTTATGAATGTAGTGCAAAAGTCCTTAACAAAATACTAGCAAACTGAACCCCAAAGCATATTTAAACAATTGTTGTTGCTGTTGTTATGTGCCATCGAGTCAGCCCCGACTCACAACAACCCCTTCTTGGGTTTCCAAGGCAGTATCACCATGGAAGTAGATTGCCCATCTTCCTTCCGAGGAGTGGCTGGTGGGTTTGAACTGCCAGCCTTCTGGTTAGCAGTCAAGTGCCTTAGCCACTATGCTACCAGAGCTTCTATTTAAACAATTACATACCTTAATCAAGTGGGCTTTATCTCAGGAATGCAAGGGTGATTCAACATAAGAAAATCAATCAGCAAAATACCCCATATTAATGCAATGAACCACATGATCATCTCTGATGGAGAAAAGACATTTGACAAAACCAGTGTCATTAATAATAAAAAGATTCAACATACTAGGAATAGAAGGGAAATTCCTCAACATGATAAAATGCATTCATGAAAAACCCACAGCTAACATCAGACTCAATGGAGAAAGCCTGAAACCTTTTCTTCAAGATCAGGAACCAGTGCTTTTTAACACTGTACTATAACTTCTAGCCAAAGCAATTAGAAAAGAAAAAGGAATGAAAGGCATCCAAATCAGAAAGGAAGAATACAACTATCTCTATTCAAAGATAATATGATCCCATATATGGAAAATCACAAAGAATCCACAGAAAAACTACTAGCATTAGTAAAGGAATTCAGCAAAATTGCAAGGTATAAGATCAACAGTTGCATTTCTGTACACCAGCAATGAACAATCTGAAAAGGAAATCAAGAAAATAATGCAATTTGCCATAATACCTAAAGGGTAAAATGTTTAGGAATAAATTTAACCAGGGAGGGGAAAGCCTGTACAATAAAAACTATAAAATATTATTCAAATAAATGAAAGAACACCTAAATAAACAAGAGATATCCTGTGTTCACGGATTGGAAAACTTAAGATGTCAATAGCAATGTCCAAAGCAATTTATAACTTCAATGTAATCCCTACCAAAATTCCAATAATGTTTTTTTAAGAAATGGAAGAGCCAATCTTCAAATTCAGATAGAATTGCAAGGGGTCCCAAACAGTCAAAACAATCTTGAAAAAGAAGAACAAAGTAGGAGAACTCATACTTCCAGAATTTAAAATGCACTATAAAACTGCAATAATCAAAACAGTACTTGTGTAAGGATACGTATATAGACCAAGGGAGCAGAATTCAGAGTCCAGAAATAATTAATTTAATCTATGACCAACTAAGTTTCAATGTTGGTGCCAAGGACATTTAATGGGGAAAGAATAATCTCTTCAACAAATGGTGCTGGAACAAGTGGCTATCCACATGAAAAAGAAGGAAGTTGGAGTCTCCTCAGACCATTTATGAAAATCAACTCAAGATGGCTCAATGACCTAAATGTAAGAATGAAACCCATAAAACTTTTAGAATAAAACATAGGGGTTAAGCTTTAAGTCCTTGTTTTTGACAATGGATTTTAGATACGATACCAAAAGCATGAGCAACAAAAAGCAAAGCGGATAAATTGCATCTCATAAAAATTTAAAGAAACTGTCCATGTAAAGACTTAACAAAGTGAGGAGACAATCTAAAGGCTGGCATAAAGTATTTGGGAATCATGTATCTGATAAGGGCTTAATATTCAGAATATATAAAGAGGACTCTTACAGCTTAACAACAACAACGTAAAAAAAAATAGGCAAAGAAATAGACATTTCTCCAAAGACATTCAAATGGCTAATAAAGTGTATGAATCGATGCTCAAGATATTATTCATCAGGGAAAGCA